CGTAGCTCGTGACTTATTAAAACTGCAATTACGACCTGCGCCAGCATGCAATTAGTGCATATCAGAACTAAATACAGAAATCAGGTGCACGACGATAGTAGCAGATGTGTTAAAACAGCTTTGTTCATATGAAGAGGCAGATTGTAAACAAGTGTTTGCATTTCTCCGCTAGCCTTAACAGCCTTCACCTGATCATTCAACTGGGCCATATCCCAACCAAGCCTACTCTTTTCAAGCCCAGCAAACTATGTCGCGACCACTTCCACCATCGTACGAGCAGGCATTCCACATGGCCACAGCACCTACGCCTGCCAACCCCCCTCCCGCTAAACAATAACCATCTCTCTCCTTTCTTCACCTACACTTCCCTTCTCATCATGCAATAAAGTATTACTGTCTCGTGTGCATTGGTGTCAGTCTCCGAAATCGTGGTAGCGAATACTGAAGTAGTGGGTTTCACATCACCAAGCATTCACTGTGTGCCAACGTACATCTCTCCAACTCTCACACCAACTCTATCTCCCTCTCTCTGCCACCGAAATCAATTCACCCCTCCCACACCACTTCTCTCGTCAGTCTTATGACCCACCCGAATTCCATCACTTCACTATTAGTCAGGGTGGGTTTACGACACTGGCAGAGGATGTACAAATGCGATTGTGTGGAAAAAAGTGAAGGGATCCTGTTACTTCCATGCGATAATCAAATGTCCGTATTCACTTTGAGTCAATATCCACTTCACCATGCTCTGCACCATCCACATCTTGTACGTCAACAAGCCTGTTTACTTCGGCTGCCACAGTTGTACTCAGAATGAACTTGTCGGATTGGAAAAAGGATTACCAAATGCCTCTTGACAGCGTGTGCTGCCAAATGACAAGTGGAGGCAAATAAGTGCATTTCGAGTGGGAGTGATTGCCACATTGTCCAGTATTTTCTACACGTCGGTTTCGATAGTATTCGCCTTGCAGTGCGGACTATGACAACTCGTGAGTTGGCACCTGAATCTCAAGGAGGCACATGCGGTGGTATTGAAAAATAACCAAATGCCACTTTCTGTTCTCCCTCGATTTCAGTGAAGCGGATCTGCAACGAGGAATGCGGCCCTATGATGCAGTGCTGATGAGTGATGTTCGAATGACATGACCATGTTCTGGCAATGCCTGTGACCCCAAACAACAGCTCACTAACCAACCACTTGAAGTCTCCAAGTGTCGTCTTTTCTCCAACCCATTTCAAAGCACTTCACTATCGGTGCTGCCACTGATTGCCCCACGATGCGTCGACGTGAGGTAGCGACACTTGTTGCGTACTCAATCCTTCCCCCCATTGCACTAGCTGATGATGATTGCACAGGTGGAATCGGTGTCTGTGAGGCAGACATTGGTGCGCTCATCTGCCTCCTTATTGCTTCACAAATGTCATTACTCAGTATATTTCATCCAGATTTCGTTTCCAATTCTAGCGTCAAACTTGACTTCCACGATTTGACAAATTCGTTCCAGTGATCTCTCCATCGTGTTGACATTTCCGGTACACCCACTTTGGAGTCGTTTTGAGATCTAGGGACCATGGCCGCGTTGATCTAGCTAAGCTCACTTCACATTGGCACCTCGCCTGGCGACTGACGGTTCTGTTGCCAATCGTTAGCAGTCGTCCGGTGTGTCAGTGGTTTCCTTTGTAAGATACTGACGATCGTCCACGCCTCCTGTGACTACATGTTGATGGCATGACGTCTTGTGCATATTGCCTTACCCAACATATCCCCACAACGATGATGGGAATAACATGAGGGATGAAGTAGGCACAACACATTCTCAAATAATCCACTGCCACAAACCGACAACCCCCTCTTGTCTGCAGGCGAGTAACTTCCTTTACTTTACTTTAAAAATTAATGCAGCCCATGCCAATTGGACCTACCAAGTGGTTGATTTGCACCTCACACCGACATGCATCAGGTTTTGGATTATTGAGTCGGTTTGCTTCACTTTATCGCTCAGTATAATGCGTCCCACCTCATCCATCTCAAAAGCGTGTACATGCAGCAGTGTGTTTAACACTGCCCAGTCGTTGCGGCATTGCGCCGAGAAGGTAGACCGTCATCGTCCTCCTTCCACTGCACTGCATTAGATGTCGACTCATCGGACCGCATCGGTGCTGATTAGACACATTCATCGCGTAATGGCGATTGTCACATCTCCACTTATTGTTTGCTGTGCATCTCCGCTTCATTCATTTGCGACCTCGGAGGTGTCAGTTAGGCATCTCTACTCAAACATCACATTTTATCAACACCTTTTGAATGTTGGCCTTTAATTTTGAATCTGTCCCATGATAGGACACTTTCCGCTTAAACTCTTCTTTAGGAAAAGGTGGCAACGCTTCCACACAAACCACCTTTTCTCATAGTTCCACATGAAAATTCCATTCCGTTCGTGTAGTTAACAAAAGTGTGTTAGGATTGTAATAGTAAATAGCTCAAAGTCACTGCCATACTTTGCTGACATTCTCTCAGCACTAACTTTGATCTTGCATTTCGTCTGCGTGTATGAATGTAGCCACATCGATGAATGGTTGTGCTTGATTTCGAGGCAGCAATGTATGACTCCACTTCCTCTACTGTTGGGACACCGTTGAGCTGACGAGGACGGATACAAGCGGCATGTTAAGGGATTGGCAAATCGTATTCCATAGGCTATGCGCGAATTGCAATAGTTAGCAACACTACTTACAACTGGACATAAGTAGACGGAAATTTGAATGTCATTTCTGTGTCCTGTTTTCATTCAAGTGGCATATTATCGTGCGGTAGCGAAACCAATACCCAAGAACGAACTCACTGTTTGCAGTTTAGTTTGGTGTGACCATAGTTTTCCCCCGAACAATCTGTTTGCTGGTAAGTTCTCTCTCCAGAACCAATGGACCGACGCGAAGATGAATGTGGTCTGTGTCGCCGTACCCATGTGTCTATCACTCGACTCGTAGTCCCCTCCGCTTCACCCCAATTAGCAACTGCCATTGTACTGCTGAGGTAGGTCTCTCATTCTCAATGCCACATGTCTGGATCAACTGATTCATGTTAGGCTCGGAACTAAGTGAAATTTGTGTTGAAGAGATGGAGTATTTTTCACCTATTCTGGGTAGCATTGTTATCACATTGAACGCACCCTGTATAATTCATGCACTCATACGCAAGCATTGTAACAAATAGTGCATTTGATGAAGAACGCCGACAGTGGCAGCCTACACTGAGGCTTGGCGGATGATTTCAACCAACCCAGCCCAGTAAAGTAACTGACTTTATCTCAGGTGGGAAGGGGAGGCTGGAACGACTGTTGAATCCACTGTCAAACTTGCCTTCAACTGGTGCAAACATCTCTCCCAACCAAATTTGGTGCATCATTTGACGCAACTCAAGCCAATCAAGTCATTGGATGTAATGCAATTTCTGCGCCTAACATGTGAATGTGGATATCTTCAGGTTGAACGGACTGCCCAATCGCAGGAACAGTGATCCCCATCAGCCTCTGCATAGTTGCATCCGCTTCCAACAGACCGCTTTCTGCTCAGCATTATCTCCCTTCCTCTCAGCTACGATCATCACGTGCATACGCCAACGATTCCAGTAATCCTTCACCAAAGTTAAATGCCTTAAACCACCACTCCACGCTTCGTTAGTGATACCCTCACCAACACTTCACAGAGTATGCGGTGTTGCCTCCATCCTCAAGAAGGCATTTACCTCTCAATGAAGTGTGTCACCGGAGGCAGTCCGAGTGCACTACTGGATCATCTCTGTAAGTCTCTCCAACGGTCAAGAACAGTCTTATCAAATAGGGAGAGTGACCGACAGAGATATGGCTGTTA